GCGTCACCCCGCAGCGGGCAGGGAGCCTCGCCCCAGGGAAGGGGTTACCCCACAGTGGGGATAAGGACACCCAGGAAAGAAGTCTCCCACAGCAAGGAGAGGACTCCCAAAGAAGGGGCCACCCCCCAGGCTGGACCTCAAAGCGAATGTTGGGCCGCCGGTGCCGGGCCAGCTCGGCGATGTTGACCCCGTTGAACATGATGTTCTCCACACAGCCCCGGAAGTTTTGCCGGTAGGTGAGGTGCTGCTTGTCGTGGTCGATCACCCCTCCAAAGAATACCTGGGAGGCAGAGGGAGGGTGTCAGACCCTCTCTCTGGAGGACACCACAGATCGACATCCTGGCAGCCCCCGGCCCAGTGCACCCACCTCAGTTTCGAGGTCAAGCTGGTCGAAGGTGCCACGGCAGCGGAAGCGCTTGACCTCTCCGTCCAGCGTCAGGTTGACGTAGTGGCCAAGACGCTCAATGTGCAATGAGTGCCAGTGCTGGTCATCCAGGAGGCTGCCCACCGCCACCGTTGTGTGGCCCTCACTGGCGTGCAGTGGGCTGCTGCCTGGGGAGGACCAGCATCAGCTGGTGGCCCCCTGGCCCCACGCCCCTGGTCCCTGGCCCCAGCTCACCTAAGCTGATGTGCAGGAGGAGCTGGGCCTGCTTGAGCTCCACTGTGATGTAGTCTCCCTGTGAGCCCTCCCCATGCATCAGCACCCCATCCTGCTCCAGTGTCTTGAAGTTGAAGGAGATGTCATCCTCAAAGGTACTGACCCTCTTGGCTCGGAAGCGGTAGGAGATGGCATCGTCCCCATCAAAGTAGAGCACATGGGACCCTGGGGAGAGCAGAGCAGCCCCAACCATGTCACTGAGTGCAGCAGCAGGTGCCCTGGCACAGGCAACACCCCCTCTGCCATGGCTGTTTGGGCACAACCCCCTCTGAGAGAGTTTTCCAGGTGTGCCAGAGCCAGGATCCCGCCATGCAGGGCTGCTGGAGCCCCTGGCCAGCTACTCACGGTAGGGGCAGCCATAGAGGCCCAGGCGCAGTCCAATCTTCCCACGCGGGTTCCAGGCCACCGGAATGATGCGAATGTATCGTGCAAGGATGGGGTAATGCAGGTCATGCCGCACCACCCCGCTCTCATTCACGTTCCCAAAGAATGTCTGGGGATGAAGGGTCACTGTCAACACCTTGCTCCAGGCCAGGGGTCTCTATTCCCCTCAGAGGGCCCCCTCCCACGGGGTAGCCCGGGCTCCCCCCTACCCAGTTGCTGCCCTGCTGGAAGAAGGGTTTCCAGCTCGTAGGGTGGTCTCCATAGAGCACAATGTAGCGTGTGAGCCAGTCATAGGTGTTGAAGGTTCCCTGTGTGGCCACTGCGTTGATCCGGTGCTTTTGCATCAGGTCAATCTGGAGCCAGGGCTGCTTGTCCCGGGGGTCGGGGGACCAGCCGCTGGTGCCTGCGGGGGGAGAGCTCAGCGGCTCGGCTCCCGACTGAGCGGGAGCTGCTTGCTCGGCCCCACCACAGCACCTGACGGGACCCCTCAGCCCCACGAGAGGCAAAACCTGGCAAGGGACACCCCCTGCCCACCCCCCCTGCCCCGCCCGCATCCCAGTTCCGCGGGGGACTCACTGTGCAGACGGGCGAAGCTGGCCGAGTAGAAGATGTTGTATCTGGAGGAGGCACCGATGGAGTAGGAGTAAAGGGGTGCAACGAGCTCATCATAGCAGGGTCCTGAGGGGAGAATGGAGCTGGGAGCGGCCTCGGAGCACTGAGCTGGGCAGTGTCCCTGTGGGAGCTCCCCAGCCCTGCGGACCCTGAGGGCTCTGGGGACTCCGGCGGAGCGGCGGGCCCGCTTTGCTCTCCCCTCCCACTGCAGCGGAGCTGACACACCTCTGCGGGCCCCGGCGCCGGCACCAGCCGCCTCCGCACTGACGTGGGCGACGGGACCCCCCGTTCTGCCCCGCCCCGGCGGGGAACGATCCCTCGTGGGATCCCGGGGGATCCCGTGCAAACCTTCGCGGCACCGGCAAAAGACCCTCTGGAGGGGCCGGGGTCCCGAACCACTTTGATGGTCCCCTACCGGGTCGGACGGAGCCCGGGGAGCCCAGGAGCATCCGGAGCTCTCACTGTAGGAACCGTGCTGCATCAAGCCCCAGTCCACCGCCCCCCGACTCTACCATCCCCAGTACCACCGCCCCCCGCCTCGATGCCCCTTCGTCCCGGCCCCGAGGAAGGGGCTCTGGGAGCCGGCTCAAGGGGATGCGGGGAGCTGCCCGGTGCGACCGGAGCCTCGCCGATTCCCGATCCCGAGCGGCTGCCGCAGCCCCTGTATGGGCTCGGGCCCGGTGCAGCCCCGCGGCGGGGCCAGCTCGGCGGGTGGCGGAGCTGGCCGAGGTTCTGGCGGAGCCCGGCCGGTCCCACGGGGCGGCCCCGCTCTCCTCGGCATTCCGGGGCTTTCCGGATCCTCGGGGCGTCCCGGTTGCCCGGCTGTCCAGGGTCCCCAGAGGCTGCGGCCGGGCGCGGGGCTGCCGCCGGCGGGGGGGCTGCGGCGGGGCCGCCCCGGGCGGGGCGCGGTCGGGGGGAGAGCCCGGACGGCCGTGTCCGGCCGTGACCTTGGGAACGATGCGAACAGGGGCAGCGGAGGACACCGAGAGATGCCGGGGGATGCCCGGGGAAGAAGGGGGGATGCCCGAGAGAACGGAGGATGCGGGAACCGCTCGAGGATGCGGGGACGGGGCGGCGGGCGCGGTCCCGCAGTGCGGAGCGGCCGCTCCCGGGACTGCGGCCCCACTTACGTGCGAGGCAACCGGGACCGGGGCGCAGGAAGCCGGCGCAGGCGGCGAGCAGGAGCCCGAGGAGACGGCGGGCGCCCATGCTGAGCGCCCCGAGCGCCCTCGGCGCCGCCGCTCCCGGTGCTGCAGCCGCGCGGCGGAGCGGGGCCGGCGGCTCCGCCCACGGGGCGGGGGGGAAGCCGGGCCGGGCCGGACCGGGCGCGGCGCAGAGCCCCGGCCACCCCCGCCGCACCCGCCGCCGCGCCCCCGGGAGATGCTCCGCCCGGGAGCCCGATTTCCCCGCTCCTCGGCAACGGAGCTGCCCGCCGCCCCGGGCTGCACCGGGACACGGCTCCTGTGGTGGGGTACGGGGGCACGGTGAGGCTGTGCAGGAGCTCCCCGGGCACCCTCGGTCGGTTCCTAGGCGGTGCCTGGTCCTCGGCGCACCCCGAGCCCCCCCGCAGCAGATGTGCTGGCGGCGGGTTGTAATCAAGCCGTGGATTAAGGCCTGCAGGTCTCGGGGTCGCTGCTCTCTCCAGTGGTGCGGAAGAAGGGATTTAGTTTGTATCTGCTCTCAACCACCCCCAGACGTCCACAGAGGGGTTGGGGGGGCTGGCGCCTGCCTGCCCTACATACACCAACAGACCCGCCGTGCTCCGTGTCCCCTGGCCCCGCAGGAGCAGGAGACCTGCTTTCCCAGGGCCCTCGAGCAGTCCCGAAGGACGGGGATGCCCCAGCAGCTGCTGGGTCCAGGCTGGCTCCAAGTGTGGAGCAGGAGCACGGCCAGGCAGTGCCCGGTGGCTCTGGACCGGGCAGGATGTGCCGGGCCGGGCTGCCCCGGGCAGGGCAGCACAGCCAGCTGCGGGCAGCCGGTGCTAGACCTCCCCCTGCCCAGGCAGAGCCCAGACCACGGCTGGGGAGTGAGAGAGAATAGAAAGCCGCAGGTGCGGCAGAGATGTGGGACACCTGGCAGTGCACCAGGATTTCTGCTACCAGGAGCTGGAACCATATGCTGAGGACATTGGCACCTGCCCTCCTGTCCCCCAGACCCTGGCAGTGCCTGCAGGTCCATCCCCAGGAGAGGCACAGCCCACTTGCCCTTATCCTGACATCCTGGGGGGCTGCCTGCCCTGGCCACAGCCCCACGTCCTGACCCTGTGCTGGGTCAGATCTGTGACAGCCCCAACAGGGACATGTAGAATGGCTGTAGGGCCAGCATTGGCCCCAGGACCTTCCTGCCCCTTTCCCCCAAGATGCAGGGGGCAGGAAAGCACCCCCAGAGCCAGCACAGGGCTGAGATCTGCAGTTAGACCTGCACTGCAGAAAGGGGAAGAGAAGAGCCCTGGGGACCCTCTGGAGACTGGGAGCACCTGTCTTCATCCAGGGTGAAGCAGCTCCACAGCCCCAGAGCGAGCATCCAGGATCTTGTCTGGAGGCAGCAGGAGGGCCGAGGGCACAGTGGAGATAAACCACGGCAAAGACAGCTGTAGCTGGGAGAAAGGGGGATTGAGGGATTATGGCCAGGAGCCCATTTAAGCTAGGGATCAATTTTCTGCCCCCCAGGGAGAGGAAAGTGGGGCCTCTACCCCACAGGAACTAATCTGCTTTTTAATGAGGAACTGGGAATTTTGTTGTCAACAACCAGCAACACGCATGCCCGGTGCTGCAGGGATGCATCGCCAGGTTGGGACCCCAGGGTGAGTGCTATGCCCTGCATCAGCAGCCACCCCAGCTTCTGGAAACACCGTGTTTACCATCAGGAAAAGATGATCCTAGACCAAGCAGTGCTCTGCCGATCCTGCTGGAGGATCATCCTGCCTGTCCCTAGCTCAGCACCAGCCAACAACAGCCCCCACTTCATTCATTGGCTCCATTCCCTCTGTCCTGCAGGAGCCAACAATAGCCCTGGGGTGGGCTGGGGGTTCCTGCTTGTGCTGGATGCCCTTGGGCAGACCCTGCTCCCCTGGCTGGGTGCTCCTGGGTTTGACCTGCACACCTGCATGACAGAGACTGAGCAGTCTCTATTCTATTTCTGTCCTGAGCATGCAGATGTAAAAGACGCACCAAGTTAAAGGTTCAGGACTGGCTCCAAAGTGGGGTCACACCTGCCACCTTGCCTTCCTCCCCAGGGCTGGGCCTGTGTTCTGTTCCATTCTCGGTATCGAGAGCAGCACGTGGTCAAACCACAGGTTACAGAGTGCTGAGACACCAAGAGCTTCAGACCCACCGGCCAGGGAAAAGGCTCTGCTGTGCAATGACGGAGCAGGTGAGGGGGCAGCAGGGTGAGGGGTTTGCTTGGGAGCCAGGCAGAACCTCCCCCCATCACTGGCTTTCCTTAGTTTTTTTTAGGTAGTTTTCTTGTGAGCCCTGTGGGTTTAGACTGAAAGGCAAAACCCTGGGGAATCAGGGCAGTGCCTGGTGCTCCAGGCCCCTGGGGCTAGAGGAGCTGCTGGAGAATCAACCTGCCCTGGCACTGGCTTCTGATCCCACCTGTGGCCTCAGAGCAATTGAGGGGCTGAAGCTCAGCTGCCTGGGCTCGCTGACAGGGGCCAGAGTGAAATTGCTGTTGTGAGGTTACTGTGAGTCAGAGTGTCAGATCCTGATCTCCAGGTAAGTGGGGTCCCAGTTGCAGCACTGTCCTGCTGCCCCAGAGCAGGGCTGAGCAGCTGGGAGGTGGGAGCACTATGCTCAGCTGCCTGCAACCTGTGTGAGGCAGGAGCTCCCTATCTGGGAGCAGGACCAGGCAGTGCAAGGCTGTGCCCACACTGGGGTCTCCAGGGTGGTGCATGGGGGCTTTGGGCACCTGGGGATGCTGGTGTGGATCCCCAAGACTCAATAGCCCAGGGCAGCTAGGGCCATAAGCCTATGGGTGTTGAGCCCCAGAGCAGTTCCTCAGGTGCAGGGTTAGTTCGTGGGACACAGTGCTGTGCTCGGGATGCCATGGCTGGGGTCATGTCCCTCCGCCAGCTCTGCATTGCAGACGGCTGCTGGGGAAGCGTGGTCACTCTTGCAATGACTGAGCACGCTGCTGCGGGGTGTGAGACGGAAACAAACTCCGCGCGTGGGGCCAGGGACCGGGGGCTGCGGCACACCCGGGCTCCCGGTGGTGAGGCTGGGTGGAGAAGGGCTGCCTTGGGTGTGGTTCTGCACCTCGTGGCCGGGCCACGACTGCCGAGCCCTCCTCACTCAGCCTCCCTGTGCACAGGTAACTTCCAGCCCCGTCTCAACAGAGCTGATGGCCACCACTGACTTCTACCCCTGGGAGGAGGGGTACTCGGGCGAGTCCGGCATGTTGCCTGAGCTCTGTGAGAAGCAGGCAGTACAGGGCTTCGCCCGCACCTTCCAGCCTGCCGTGTACCTGCTGCTCTCACTGCTGGGCACAGTGGGGAACGGGCTGGTGCTGCTCACACACACCCGCTACCGCCAGGTACACAGTGTCACCGATGTCTGCCTCCTGCACCTCGCTCTGTCTGACCTCCTGCTGCTCCTGACGCTGCCCTTCGCCAGCACCGACACGCTGCAGGGCTGGTCCCCAGGCACAGCCGCCTGCAAGGCGCTGCAGGGTCTCTACGCCCTCAACTTCTACAGCGGCTTCTTCTTCCTCACCTGCATCAGCGTGGATCGCTATGTGGCCATTGTGCGGGTGCCGGCTGCCTGCCGCCTGCGCCCACGAGCTCGCCGCCACGGCTGGCTGACGGCAGGGCTGGCCTGGCTGCTGGCCCTGCTGCTAGCCCTGCCCCAGTTCATCTACAGCCAGGCAGAGCAGCACCAGGATCTCCGGCTCTGTCGTGTCGTCTTCCCCCGTGGAGTCTCACGGGCAGCCCGGGGAGCCACCAACCTGGTGCAGGTGGTGCTTGGTTTCCTGGTGCCCTTCCTGGTGATGGCGAGCTGCTACGCAGCCGTGGCACGGACACTGCTGGCGGCCCGCGGTGCCCAGCCCCACCGGGCGCTGCGAGTGCTGCTGGCCCTCGTGCTGGTGTTCGTGGCCCTGCAGCTGCCCCACAGCCTGATGGTGCTGCTGGACGCGGCCGAGCTGCTGGCCAGCTGGGAGATGAGCTGCGCCCAGAGCCGCCGCAAGGACCTGGCGCTGCTGGTCACCGGCGGGCTGGCGTACCTGCGCTGCTGCCTCAACCCCCTGCTCTACGCCTTCCTCGGCCAGCGCTTCCGCCGGGAGCTGTGGCTGCTCGCCAGCGACGCCGGCTGTGTGGGGTCCCTCGACCCGCCCTGCTCCGGCTGCCCCAGTCCCCGGCGGCGGACATCGCTCTCCAGCTGCCTGGACGTGGTGTAGGAGCACAGCGGCCGGGGCGGGGAGCAGCGGGGTTCGGTCCCGCCGCGACTGCCCGGGGACAGCCCCGTCCTGCACGGACCTGCCCCGGGGAGCAGCTGGGCACGGGCAGCACCGGACAATCCGCACGGCACCCGCACACGCCCGGGCAGAGGGGAAGAGCAGCCGCGCAGCGCCTGCATGCCCTGCCAGTGCCTTCACTGCCCGGCGACACGCCGGGCTGCGGTCTCCGCAATGTCGCGCGTGTTTCGGGGCCACCCCGCAATGTCGCGCGCGTCGCGGGCCGTGCGATGTTTCACATGCTCTGGGGGTCCGGGCGGTGCCGGCGAGCCGGGTCGGTGGGTGCAACACTGGGGCCAGGCAGGCAGCTGGTTCCCACTCTCACAATAAACCCCGAACGAGTCCCGGTGGGCGAGCGCAGTCTCCGCGGGGCCCGACGCTGCCCTGGGCGGGTTTTGTGGGGCCGGGGGCGGCTCCTTGGCCACCGGCACTGGCGGGCGATGCCTGCAGGAGGCAGCAGAACCTCGCGTTTCCTGGCCGCCCTCTGCTCGTCCCCGCCGCTGCAGGGACAGGGAGCCCCCGGACAGGGAACAGCAGAGTCCCCCCCGGATAAACCGTCCGTGGGTCCTGCACCCCAGGGCGGGGTCAGAGGGACGTTTGTCTCCCCTCCTTACTCCCCCCACCAGTTCCTCTGCCGCGGCACATCCCGGCCCGGGGGCTCTCCAGCACCTGGGCGCTGCGCTGGGGCTGGCCCGGCCCGGACACGTGGCGACCAACACATGACCACGGGCTAGGACCCGGCGAGCGACACATGTCGCATGGGCTGGCACATGGTGCCGGGGCCGGGCAGTGTCGCACTCACCAGGCCAGAGCCGGGAGCAGGACTGGGCTTGGCTGGGGTGCAGCTGCTCATGGAGCAGAGCTGGGCATGCAGAGAAGCACCTCCCGGTCCTGCCGGGGCTGGAGGCACTTCCTGCTCACCCCCTGCTCTGTTTGGGATTAGCCCAGGGCTCGAGTGGAAGAAGCCATTCCAGAAGCTTCACCTACTGCTGGGCCAGAAACAGGTTACTGCTGGCTCAGCAGCCTCAGAGGCGAGCTGATGTGCCTCTGTGCCCCACAGCCCTCGGTGGGACCAAGAGCCAGATTCGGGCAGCTCTTGGCCAGACAGCACAGCTGCCCTCCCAGCCTGTGGTCTCGGGTGGTCCTGCTCCAGTCCTCCGCTGCCCCCATAGCTGGTGGGCTCTGCTCGATGCCCGTGACTGCCCTGGCTGCACAGCCGGCCCACACCAGGGGCTCAGCCCCAAGCAGAATCCAGAGCAGGCTGCGTGGGAGGGGAGCTGGCAGCCGGAGCTTCCTGCCTGCGCGTCCCAGCACCCAAGCTCACAGGGACGGCGGTGACCCAACAGCTGCAGCAAAGCCAGAGCCTTAACTCCTGGGGCTTCGGGAGTGGGGCCAGGGCCTGGACGCTGCCACGGCACCCATGGTTTGAAGGTGCCGTAGATCCTCTGCCACTGGGCAGAGCCTGGGGCTGAGCTGCGCCACAGCTGTGGCACTGGGCGTGACCCCACCATGAACGCCTTCAACCAGCTCCTCTGTGGAAAGGCGCTACGACGGCCTGTAGGACAAGCCTGCCTGGGCACGGTGCCCTCCTGCCCACGGTGCCCTCCTGCCCGAGCACAGAGCCCACGGTGCTGCCCACCGGCACAACCTTGGCACCGCAGCGGGCTGAGTCGCCATGCTGGGACGGGCGCCAGTGTTGCGGCACGCAGGAGCCAGGGCAGCGCCTGATGCCGGTGCCGCGGGGCAGGGCAGGGGCCCGTGCCCGGGTCCGGTGCCCACACCGGCTGCAGGCGGTGCTCAGTGACGGTGCCCCGTCAGGAGCCGAGGGCAGCCGGTGCACCCCGCCGGCGGTGGCTCCGGGAGCACCGGCCCCACGGCAGCCCGGCCCGCGCTGCCCCCGCCCCGCAGCTGACGCAGCGGCGGCCCCGCCGCCCCGGGCAGCAGCTCCGCCCCGGGCCGCGCTCGGCGATTGGCGGCGCCCGGTGACGCGCGGCCCGGCCCGCCCGGGGCGGCGGCGGGGCCGGCGGCCGGTGCGCGGGGCGGCCGGTGCGCGGGGCGGGCGGGCGGGCGGCGGGCCGGTCCCGTCGCGTCCCGGTGCCGTCCCGTCGGTGTCGGCGGGGCGATGCCGTTCCCGGGCGGGCTGTGGTGGCTGCTGTGCTGTCGACGGGGCTTCACGCTGCTGCGGCGGGACTACGGCGAGACGGAGCGGGAGGCGGACGGCGAGGCCGAAGAGGAGGAGGAGGCGTCCTTCGAGCTCCGCGCCCAGGGAGACCAGGTGGGGCCGGCACCGGCTCTGGGACGGCCAGAGGGACGAGCACAGCCGAGCCGCCGGGGTGGTCCCGCTGGGTGCGGGGTGGGTCGTTCCGGCGGGTGCGGTGCCGCAGCCCGAGGAAGGCTCCGGGCGGGCGCGGAGGTCCCGGGCCCGCGGGGCAGGGCCGCCCGTCACGGGAGCCGCTGCCGGCCGGGTGCTGGCCGGTGCTCCTGCCCGCTTCGGCCTCGCTGTCCGCTCCTCAGGACTGGGAGCTCCCGTGCCGGACCCGTGCCAGACCCGCGGCGGCCCGGTGCCCCGCAGTGCCCCGCCGGAGCGGGCCGGGGCTGTCCCGGGAGCACGTGCCGGGCGCGGAGAGCGGGCCTGGATCTCCCCTCTCCTGCTGCTTCCTCTCTGGAGGGAAACGGAGCGGCGGAAACCGGTGCTTCCTCCGGCCGGGCTGCGTGTGCGGCGGCTGATAGCGCGGGGTGCGGGGGCAGCCCCGGCTCCCGGGGCCTCCCGTCTGTCCCGGCCGTCTCCTGCACCAAGGGCCGTGGGGACTCGAGGGGTGCCGGGCATGGTGTCCGCCTGGTCCCGCTTGCTGTGGCCCCTCTCTGCTGCCCACTGAAGGGGCTGTAGCACGGTCCTGGCTGTGCAGGGCTGGGGGAAGCCCTACGCTGTCGGTCCCTTAGCAGCAGGTCCCCTTTCCCAGTAGTGCCAGCACCGTGGGACAGTGGGAAGTGGGGGCAGTGACAGGGCTGGAGCTGGGCCCTCCGGGAACTGGTGGCAGTGCCAAGGGCACAACTATGTCAGGAACCGTCTTTGGGCTTCCCACATCCCATGAGCCGCACTGGCTCCGGGCTGGCGTGGGCGACTGGTGACGCCAGCTCCCCCGAGAGCCCTCTGCTGTGGCCAGGGGGTCCTTGGAAAGCCACAGCGTCGACCGCCCCTTCGTGGGAGCGTGGGAGCAGCTACCCTGGCCCTGCCGCCGCAGCTTCTCTCCTGTTTATTTATATCCCTGAGAAGGAGCCGGCTGCCACTGCTGCCTCCTCTGGACTGCCCTCGAGAAACCAGGCACTGCCTCGGTGCCTGCAGCCCTGAGGAGTGCGTGAGGCCCTCCCCAGCCTCGGCAGTGGGACAGTGTCTGGAGGTGCTGGCGCTGTGCACGGATGCCATCATTCTGTGACAGGTGCCCTTAATGCCACAGGTCAGTGGTGTCTGGCCCTGCCCCACAGCACGACCATACCTGCGGCGGCTCCCCCCTCCCTGTCACTATTTTTAGCGTCTGTCTCTTTTCCTCGGTGTTGCGTGCTGTGGCCTGTCATGCCTCTAGCTGCCCTGTTGTGCTGCAGCTGGCAGGAGCTCCCGTGCATCTCCCAGGACAGCATTGCTGGTGCATCCATGTCCCCGCACCCCTCTCTGCTGGGCAGCCTGCCCGACCCGGTGCCTGCCTGTGCCTGGGCTCTGCCTCGTGTCCCAGCGTGTGTGCCAGGGCTGTCACGTGCGTGGCACTGTCCATGTCAAGTTGTGCTGCGTGAGGAGGAACTGACCCTGTCCTGCTGCAGGGCCAGGGACTTCCCAGTGCTGCGTCCCACCGCCGCGGGCAGGAAGTCAGCGGCCCCATTACAATGGGACTTTGTGCCGTAAGCGTATTACTCAGCACTGACCTTGTGCAATTCTGCACGGTATTCAGCCAGCCGGGTCAGCTCAGGACACACGGCCAGCGCGCCCGCCGGCTGCCCCCACACCCGGGGTGTCCCAGCTGCAGCCCTGCTTCTTGCCGTGGCCTTGTGCGTGCCAGGGCTCCTCTGCCCCATGGCAGCAGGGTGTGAGCCCGTCTCTCTGAGCCCAGAGCTGGGTTGATAAGGAAGCATACAGTCATGGTGGGAGATGGACAGGGGTGCCAGGTAATGACCATGGGGCTGAGATGTCTCCTTCCTCCCCAGGGATCTCTGGAGGTGAGCCTGAGCCAGCCCACCCGTAGCAGCAGTGGCTCGGAGCGGTGAGTGATCCCCTGCTGCATTGTGTCCCTTGTGTGGTGCTGCAGGAGCTGAGGGACTGGCATGTTGTGGGAGGTTGTCCTGGTGCTGGATGTGCTGAACCATCCTGCCCACAGAGCTAGCACCAGGCTGTGCTGCCCTGTCAGGTAGAGCAGGGAGTGGCAGAGCCGGGACTGCCGTGCTTGTCCCCATCCCTGGCGCATCCTCAGGCATGTCTCCATCCCCCTGCCGTGCCGGATAGCTGAACTGCCACAGGCTTAGCTGATGGGGCTGTGCATGACTCTTCTGTGCCAGGGGGTTCTGCCAGGCTGTGCTCATCAGCAGAGGCTGTGCCCTGGGGTGGTCGGTGCTGAGGAAGACAGGCAGCCGGGGCACAGGGGCCTGCTCGCTCCCTGTACTCGCAGTACTGACACTGCTGCCAACATTCCTTCCTGGTTGTTCATTTTCCGAATTCCTTGGCAGGGCCAAGACTGCAAACAGCTTATTTTTAGCCGGGGTCATTTGCACCCAATGACTCTGCCGTGTTCCCACCGCAGGGCTGTGGGGTGCCCAGAGCCCCTTGGGACCCAGCTCATCCCAGTCCCCAGGCCAGCTCCCTGCTCAGGGGCTGTGGGAGACCCCCACGGGTACCTGAGCTCAGCCCCATGTTGTCCTCAGGTCCCTGCTTGTTGCAGAGGAGATGCGCAGCCTCATCGTGGAGAAAGGCCCAGG